ACATATGTGCCAGAAGTCGCGCCAGTCTGCAAATCGTCACGGTTATCTAACACCAGTGTCTATAGGTGGGGCAATAACGTTGTGCAGTAACATGAACAGCGTTGCATCGAATGCAAGCTCATTCGTTAAAATCTCTTGACATCGCGAAGCGGAGAGCAGAGTTAGAATTATCTCTCAATCTTGTAGTAACCGTTTCGGGTATCACCGAGATAAAGGTATTTTTACACTTGAATTTGATGGAATCGCAATCATTTAAATTGTTGTTAAAGGGACGATAATTTCGCAAAATCCTAAAGTAAATCGCACTACGTATCAGAAGAATATTTCGCACTTAGTACTACAGTATATTACTAACGTAATATAAAATCGATAAACTTGTTTTTGTGCCTACCTAAGAGATGTTAAAATAGTACATCCGGTTTGATGGAAGAAACCTTAGTAAAATAATTGAAGCATTCCGGAAGAAGTTTTCTCTTATTTTTTTGCAAACCGCAACAACTTCCGCTCTTGCACTTGATTGCGCCAGCACGAACGTGACACCCCGTCACAACATTCTACAATCTTTACTAGATACAGATTTTTGATCTTGCACTACGTAAAGAGTGAAAAATATACTTGTAAAACCAGCATGCACAAACAATATAAATATATCGTTATAAATCAATATACATAAACAACTGTATAGATACACATTTCAATTTATTGATATTTAATAAATATCTTTATTTTAAAATCATATTTTTACATTCGCATTTTTAAAACTCTTTTAAACAAACCGTGTCGAAAAGTCCAACGGAACAATATTTGCTTTGTAAAGTAAATTGGTCAGCAGATGTTATTTGAGAACGGACGTGAAAAAGTCTCACGTTACACACAGCATCCGAAGTGATGTATTCTCCACAGTTCGTAAATTTTAAAGGTTTTATTAAAAAACATCATGTCATTTAATTATTTTTTAATAAACGAGAAATATAAGTTAACTTATAAAATAAAACTTTAAAACATATAAAAATTCTAAAGATTAAAGTCACATTCGATTAATTATTTCTAATATGTAATATAAATTACGTTGTAATGCAAATTTAATTTAATATTTATTTATTCATCAATTATTTATATGACAACATTAGAATGCAATTGTTAGTTAGGATGTCATGATGAAAAGCTCTTATGATAAAATCAAAGTTTATTGTAAGTGTGACTCTTCACGTCGGGATTACCCGTAAGCATTGTATATAAAACATTTTTATTATACAATGACAAAGACTAATTATTTTCAGGATAATTTATACCATGGAGATCTCGGCAGCTTGGCTGCTGACCATCTTGGCGGTCATAAATGCTAAGTGCATAAATGCGAATTCAACGACACCGTTGCCAACATCTACGGAATCTGTTCATATCAGCAAAGTGAATACAACGATTATCGAATCCGCAACATCGAAGAGTAATTTTATCGATTATCCTAGACCTTTCACGAATATAAAGGACATGTTGATGCAGGAAATACATTCTTTAGATTCCAATGTTAAGGTAAGAATCTTTGTAATGTGGAAAATATTACGTTCTATCATATTTAATTAAAATCTTCAAGTGAAATTAATACAATCATATCTTTCTACGTAAAAGAAAGGTCAATTGTGAAATTAAGAGTAACAATATTTATTAAGTATTGATAAAAATTATTATTGTGTTTACGTCATCTTAATACAGAAGTAATAATTAATACATTTGTATTAAAAGGAATATTTATTTATTAAACATAACTGAAAAATTAGATATTATACTGAAATAATTTCAATTACCCTGAATTAACTTCAATTTGATTTTTGTTTAGTCATTAATTAATTATAATTGTTCTTAATTAAAACGAAGAAATCATGACTATTTAGATTCAAGAAGAGATGGCAAAGGCTCTTAAAGCCGAGGCGCAGAGAGATAGTACAAACGTTCGAACCAAAGCGACCTCTAAACGATTAAACAAGCCAACGAAATCAGATCTGGAGAAGGAAAATGAAGACTTTAACAAGAAATTCGTTATACCGCCTTACGACGACAATAGCGATGACGACGACAGCGAGGATAGCGAGGATGAAGAACTCAGCGAAGAGGAGTACGACGAAGACTTGGAGGATTTGGACGATGATGAAGAAGTCATGATACAGTGCCCTGATTATTGCAAATGCGCCGGACAATACGCTGCCGCAATGACTGCAACGTATGTTCCCAATCGGATCATTATATAACTGAATAACATCCCTTCGTATGGCGGCAGATAAAGAGTTCGCTGATAGGTCGCTTCCTGCAGCGTAATAATATGACACAGTTTTCTACATTAATAAAGAGTTAATAAGAATCGGACATGATGCTTCATTTTTGCTAGGATTTTCTTTACATAAAATTCAAGAATATGCGCAAGAAGGCGCTAATTAAAAAAAATACATAAAACGTTGTAACTATATTTATATTACGTGATTGTTACAATATTGTTTTAAATTACAATTTTCTTTACATTTTGCATATTTTTCATAGTCCATTAAACATTAGCACATTTAAAATCAATTTTACATTCTATTTTCATGTATAATTCAATAACAAAATTAACAGCCTTATGCACAATAATCAAGTTTAAAAATGCTAATTATAATTCTAATATTTATAACAATAATTTATAGGATCAACATGCAACCTTTTCATTGATCATTCATTTTTGTTTTTTCTTTTACTATCTACAGATGCACGAAATTGGTGAACGAACAGTCCTTTGGACCGGGCATCGCTCATCTGCGCATCGAGAACGCCGGCGAGATACAATTGGGACCAAACGCCCTGCGAGCTCGTGGCCTTCAGCAATTGGAGTCCATCACTATCGTCGACACGCGCATAGTCGAGCTAGATCGTACAGCCTTCAATGGCGTTTCGTATCTATTCGCCGTGAACTTGACACGCAATGGTCTGCAGGACATCCACCCGAACACCTTCCAGAACAATACGCAACTCAGCCTGCTCACGATCTCCGGTAATCCGCTTAAGCACATGCACGACTTGAGGAAGCACTATCTGCTGCACGCACCTTCGGTCACCGATTTCGATTTCTCAAACAATGGAATACTGCGGTTAAAGCGCACAGCCTTCTCTAAGATGCAGAGTCTTAATTTTATCAATCTACGCGGTAACAGACTAAAGGAGATCGACAGCACGATCTTCGATTCGCTGGACCAGCTTATGGAGGTGGATCTCTCAGATAATATGCTGGACGAGTTGCCGATCAATTTTATTGACAAAGAAGTGCAAATTCTTCGTGTCGCTGGTAAGAAAATCATATATACGATGTTATTTATTAATGAGCGAACGAATCTTAATTTAAAATCTGAGTTACATTAGAATAATATTGAAAAACAGAATAGCAAATTATTAAACTAAAATCAGGAAATGGAAATTTCAGGAAATAATCTATCGACGTTAGCTACTATAAGCTCTTCGAAACTGACAACACTGGACGCCTCGAGAAATAAGATCAAGGCAATTGGCAAAGAGGATCTCGAAGGCATGCCATCATTGGACCAATTACATCTCAGATCGAACAATATGAAGAGAATTCATCAACACGCTTTCAGCAAACTCGATAAATTAGAGTATTTGGATATGAGTGATAACAAACTCACCTCACTCACCGAACATCATTTCAAATTTGTTCCAAGATTACAGCATTTGTTGATGAATAACAATCCCACTTTGGAGACTCTGCCGGTTTTTAAAACTTACGACATGATGTACAATACATTCAGGTGAATATATTGCTTTGTCGCTCTATTGTAACAAACAAATTAATATAAAAAACAAATTAATCCGCGTATAACCTTTAATTTAATCGCCTTTATTTAACAGCATGATACAATTTGAGTGCACAAATTGCGGTCTAAAGAGCCTCAAACCAGGTACATTTGATGAAATGCCAGCGCTGTCGCGGCTGTATCTCGCGAAGAATCGCCTGACCAATCTGCCCAATGGACTTTTGGAAAATCTCTCGTCTCTTCGAGACCTGGATTTGTCCGATAACTTCATCACCGATCTCCATCAGGATATGTTCCACGGTGCTCTGAGTTTGAACAAGATAAACCTCGCCGGCAATCCGTTGAAAACATTGCAAGTGTCGCCGTTCATGAACACCCCGGGACTCGTTAAATTAGACGTGAGCCGATGCCATCTCGAGCGCGTTTGGAGCGAAGCTAGAGTACCATTGAAGAGTCTTCGGTGAGATTTCGAGAAATTTATTACAATACTCTTTCGTATTTGAAATCATTCAAAATTTTTAATAGGAGGAAAAAATTTAAGAGGAAAATGATAATTTTATGATGTCAAGACATTCATTAACTAATGTATCTTTGTTTCCATTTTCGTGCCTGTTTAGGTTCCTGTCGATTCGCGAGAATCTTCTACGACGAATCACCATCGAGGAACTTAGGGCCACTCCGAGACTCACCGGGTTGGATTTGTCGCACAATCCTTTGGATTGTGACGCCGAGTTTACTGAAGCTATACAATGGCTCACCGATCACGGAGTTGCACCGACAGAGATACTTAAGTAAGTATTCAAGTTTAGTCACCGGATAGTATATCCTATGAGACTTTTATCAACTTCTCGTGTTTTTATAGGTATAACAATGATTTTGAGAATATCGATGATGTCGACTCGACCGGCCTCAGTCAATGGACAGACTTGGCAAAGATAGTTTGCGATGGAATCGATGACGGTCCACCACCTAGATCACCTCCTGGCAAAAGTTCACACCGGAAAGGCATTCTTGTAGATCTCGATGTTATAGAAGAGGCCGGTACTGTATTAGAAGACGAACTGCATAACGACGAAGTAAGCTAACAAATGATATTTTGAAATATATTTTAGAAATATTTTGTTATACATATACTTTAATTATTCTTTTTTATACTTTTTGATATTATATAATTTTCAACTTCTTGACAATATTATCTAAAGTGAACTCTGTTGGAAATAAATTCTTCAAAATGTCTGCAAAGAGGCTATAGATCTAGGACAATATTTAGTAGTTACTATTAATAGGACACTGATAGAAGTATAGATTGGCAAAAGATTATCAATATAATATATATTATAATATATATAATATAATGGCAGATAAATGGTATAGAAAATAAATAAATTTTAATATTTGTTGTTTAATATAGATTAGTAGTAGAAATCAAGTAAACACTTACTTGTGACAGATTTTGCTTGATTTCTATTTCTACTAGTTTATGTCAACAAAGTCTGCCGGCAAAACATAAGCTTATTGCAAGCACAGATGATACTGAATTAGTTGCAACATTCTAAAATCAACTGCCAATCTGTAGACATATAACTAACTAATTTTGTTTGCCAGGTATATATAATCAATATTTTACATTGAAATAAACACGATAATACCAGATGTATTTTTTGCAGAAGCTTCTTAGAAACGGACTGAATATCGATCATGGCATGCCACACATCGATGAACCACGACTTACGGAGGATCAAACATATGATGACTTTGACATCAGGACGGAATATCATACAGCTTGGTACAACTTGAGACCTGGTTTTAAGATCTGGCTGATTTCCGGCACGATTTTGTCTGTTCTGGTGGTCTTCTTGCTGGTAGCCCGCATCGCTTACTGCTTAGCAAACAAACGAGGACGAGGTCCCGTACTCAGGCCACCCATGATCCTTCGTCAGGGTCTGGTCGACAACAAGAACTGCGGCTTGGTGTATAAGCCTCTGCAGGAGGAAATAGCCACGCCTCACATGCCGAAACGAGGTAGCTTCTACTCGAGTAGCACCTTCCATTACGACAAAATCGTGCCAGAGAGTGTATAAGAGAACTTGTTTTCTGATTAATTAAGTGACCAATTACAGAGCGCTCGACCGATGTGATTGGTCGTGAACGACAGATCATCAAAGATCTCGCGTCGTTCTCGGAATTCAAGGAAAGTTCTTCAAACGATTATTAGATAAAGTAATAATAAAGCCGATAGAGATAAAGTTAGGCAAACTCTTTTGACCATATAACTTACGATACATAAGATCCTATCGGCAAACTAATGTGCATTATTTTCATTGCAAAATATAATTATAAGCATTTAATTCAATTTCCTAGAAACAATTGATCGAGATGCATGTTTCTTTTAGGCTTTTAGGCTTTTTTATTGTCAAAGTTTATGCAAAATACGTGAATAATAAACGTTATTATTATCATTAACTGAAAGATGCCTGATAGAAATAAATATAATTGATAATTACAATATTACAGATACATATAAACAGCAGAGAAAATACTGTTTTACAATTATACAATCATAAATCTTTTTATAAAAAATAATAAAAGATTAGATTATATTTTTACAAAAACTAGAGTTATAAAAAATTATGTACTTATTATTTATAAGTCCAAAGCATTTTTGCAACAGCTCTACTCGTCGATTAAGCAACGGCCAAAAAACGCGCAATACAAGGAAAAGCAGTACTGTTTATAAGTATATTTAATCAAAGATTTTAATAAAAATTTCATTATAAATTATTTATAAAGATAATTTAATGATAATAGTATTACTGCAGAAATTGAGTAAAAGCGTGAGTATTAGCCGATGGACGAATGAGAGAATTACATATGACAGATATAAAATTTTATATGAGGCGGAATGAGAAAGCTTCCTGTAGAATGCGCAGTCATAGTAATATATGTCAACAATACCATAAAATAATTTTTAATTATGGCGACAATTATTACCTTACTTGAAAGAATTTGAAAATTATGTTGAAACTAACTTTTAAATTAGATTTTATATATAAGTTATATCACTACACGCGCACAAGCTCTATTATGCTATTATAAATATATATGCTGTAAATAATAAATATCGTTTTAATAAAATTTTGATTAGAACCAAAGTGAAATCCATTTTCTGCCTTGATCGAGTATATAGTAAGGGTATTTATGAGAAAAAAAGGGAAATATAAATCTAATTAAAAGTTATGAATTCGATTTGAAAAGAAAAGTATAATACTTTTTTATGTTTTATATATAGATACACAAATGATCAGTATATAAATAATCTATGAAACCAAGGTTTAATGTAGAAATAAAACGTACACAACAGCTATATTTATAGAGATAGATGACGTGGAACTGAATAAGCTCAATTAAATAATGTCTATCACAACAAGAAGCAACGAGATAAAATGCAAAATAAAGACAGCGAATCAAAATCAGGTCTGAAACATCGACATATATTGAATAATAACTTTTGCAATAAATTCAAGGTATTCCGGAACTTATGATTGAACTTATTATTGAAAAATTCAAAATCTATTCTGTTTATAAAGGTAGTCTATAAAAGTAATATAATATTTTATAACATTATATTATAAATATATCATATAATATAAATAAAATGTTTCAGGTATACTACATTTTGTTTATTATATATTTTAAAAATTACATTAAATTATTTACACAGCTTTTTAAGAAAAATCCTAGAATTTTATATTTATTTCGGAATTAATAATTAATCTGAATTAATATGAAAAAATTCAATAATGCTTTTAATAAATTTATTTAAACTATAAATAAATTTTAATGCTAAAAACTTAATTAAATTTAAAAAATTTTAAATCATTAAAATCTATATTTTAGAAATTGTATATTTCTATTGAGTCTTGATAGAATATTAATCTAGTAAAAATGTAATAGACAGAATATTTTTCTTATTAAATTGTAATAATATTCTTGACTTCTAACGTTTATTTCTTTCTTTTAAATATTCCTTTTTTTATAGGAACATGCTTTATTCATTCTTTTTAAATTCTGTATAAACGCCATTCAATTGAAATGTTAACAATTTTGTTTTAAAAATTGAAATTTCAGACAAGAAATTATTTTTTATCTTAGTAAGTAGTAATTAACTGCAAATAGCGATAAAATTCTATTGATACAGCCCTGTACACATATATATGAATAACGAACACATGAATAACACAGCCACCTCATCAAAGACGCAAGTGGAAAACATGTAGCAAAAGAGGGGGGAATACAGACTGGTCACGATATCAAGTTGGGAGTAAAGCTCTGGAGTTCATAGAGAACATTCCTTCACAATATTTCTATTCGAAAGACCTGCTAAAATTTATTTCAACTAGTGCTACTTTTACGTTTTTTTTTTGACGATTATTTCTAAAAAATATTTAAAATGCTGCCGAGACGACGAGTCATTGATCTTCTGCAAGTCATTTCATCTCAATCGTAAGTAAATCACCGAATATTAAACATTTTCATATAAAAAAAAGAAGTAATGTAATAGCGACGTTGACAAACGAATCACAAAATGTTATCATAAATTAATATACATATAATAAAAATAAATTTAGTTAGAAAATATGTTTTCACTTGTTTAGCATTAAATATAAACAATTATAAATATAATATTTTGAATATTATTAACATTATTAAAATAAATAAAAGTCATTTCGATCGGCTTTTCCTCTCTTTTCGACAGCATTATATAAGAAAGAGAAGCGATATGATGGTAGAATATTATGATATTGATGACAATCTCAGTAAGAGGAATCTACACAAGTCAATTTATAAAAGCAGCGCGTGATTTATTAACTGAATAGCGGTAGATCTATTTTGAGAAGAAAAACAGAAGTATTAATGGCAAATGCGGATCGTAACATTTAAAACTGAACTTGCTTTAAATTTATAGATGCAAATGTCCAGCGCATGGTAATCCAGGAGCTACCAGTGTGCAGGAACACGGGAAATCTCGAAGCACTGCAACAAACGTCGCGGCCGACAAAGAATATGCCTTTGAGGTACAATTTGTATAAGGAGAAAGAAGTTATTAGCAATCTTTCTTGCAAGCTTATTAATGCGTTGATTTTATCACACCGAGCGATTATGAAATCAAAGACCTCCTGCATACGTTGTGTATTCAGATAAGAAATGTTTTTAAAGCAACCATACTCAATTACCGCTTTTCAAACTTCTGATAATAATTTTAATAATTTTGATAATTTATCATATCGTATCGTATCGTATGAGATAGAATACAAATATTTTAACAAAGTTATTTTATAACAAAATTTTTAGGTAAAATAAAAAATTTATTTAGATCAAATATAATATATATCTTTAAAAAAATTTTAGTAACGTCAAGAATATATAAAAGAGTGAACCTCTTTGAATAGTTTATTTATTTTCTTATCATTAAGACTTTTGATGATAAAAATGTAATAATAGATTTCTCTTAATTTATACATTATGTTAATTATTAAAATTTATTATAATTTTAGATGGCATGTTCTACAGTGCGATATGGAATAGGAGTAACAAGAGAATTAGGAATGGACATACAAAATTTGGGAGCGAAGAAAACTTGTCTAATGACGGATCCTAATTTGATAAATTTAGCCCCTATGAAAACTGCTATTAACAGTCTCTCCAAGTATGGAGTTCAATTCGAAATTTATGACAAAGTACGTGTGGAACCAACTGAAAAAAGCCTACAGGATTCAATCGAATTTGCTAAGCGGGGGAATTTCGACGCTTTTATTGCGGTACGTATGCAAAAAGTGATAAAAGCGATAGAAAAAGATAAAGTTTTGATATATCTTAATATCGCGTTCTTCTTTGTAAAATACATATAAATATTTACATGTAATACATATAATAATACATGTAATATGTAATATGTAATACATATACATTATTTTTATATATTAATTTTTAAAGAATTTTTTTTTTATCTCGATTATATATTAATACAGGTTGGCGGTGGTTCCGTGATGGATACTTGCAAAGCGGCAAATCTGTACAGCTGCGATCCAGATGCCGAATTCTTAGATTACGTAAATGCGCCGATTGGAAAAGGAAAACCAATTCAGATCCCTCTAAAACCACTCATCGCCATTCCGACTACCTCTGGTACCGGTTCTGAGACTACTGGTGTATCTATTTTCGACTATCGGCCACTGAAGGCCAAAACGGGTATCGCAAATAGGTAATATTCATTATATATATATATATATATATATATATATATATATCTATTAG